AAACCATTTCAGGTGACTACCTCTTGAAGCTCATGGAGAGAATGCCAAGAGTGTGCAAAGCAGTAATCAGAGCAAAGGGTGGCTATTTTGAAGAAACTAGAATATAAAACATGTTTTCAGTTATTTCACCTTTTTTTGTTAAGTACATAACTCCACATGTGTTCATTCATAGTTTTGATGCCTTCAGTGAGAATCTACAATGTAAATAGTCATGAAAATAAAGAAAACGCATTGAATGAGAAGGTGTGTCCAAACTTTTGGCCTGTACTGTATATATATATATATGTGTGTACAGTGGGTGGACATTTCTATGTATGTATTTTATGGTTTGTTATACTGTGTTTATAGTGCATTTTAAAGTAAAACTTTTTGGTCCACAGGGAATTAATTAGCTGATCATATATTATTGTAAGAAATTATGAAATTATTTTTATTAACTTTTACAGTTCATCACTCTCTGAAGTATTTCTACACTGCATCTTCTGGAATCCCAAACCTCCCAGAATTTGTGGCTGTTGGGCTGGTTGATGAAGTTCAGATGTTTCACTATGACAGCAACACCAGGAGAGCAGAACCCAAAACGGACTGGATGAGTGAAGTCACAGCAGACCCAGCTGCCTACTGGGAGGGGGAGACTAGAGTCTGTGAACATCACCAGCAGCTCCACAAAGCCAGCATGGAAATTTTAAAGCAGCGCTTCAACCGCAGTGGTTTGTTTATGTTTCACCTTTTAGTCAAAAATGTGTTCTTATCATGTTTTTTGTTATTAAGTTGCAAACATATATACAGTGTATACCACCACCCCCAGCAAATTTATTGGAGGCTGACAGGACTGTCTTTAAGAGGCTGTGGCGTGCTCATTTTTTAAGCCAGATATTACTATTATGTGGAATGAGACAATCTAAGGCATCACTGGTAACAACCATGTCGTCAGGAAGGGGGCTAAATAACGCTCTAAAGTTAGGCAAAATTCTGGTGAGGGAAAAACTGGCAATATGATTTTTAAAGAGTGCCCTTGAACTCTCACCTCAAGATAGCTGAATAAAAATGGGTTCTGTTTGTACCCATACCCAACTATACTGGTATTAGTGTATGCATATCAGATAATTAGTAATATTAATTGTAAAATAAGAACTCAAGGTATATCAGCATGCGATTCCTTAACTCTCATATTAGACAACATTTTCAGCTAGCCTTTATACTACAACAGCATAATAGAATTCCTGAAATTCACTTTTGACTTTTGGTTATAGTGTGCCACCCTAAGATTTAAGTTGGCCCCATCTGGCCACCCTGATGAAAAATTTATGGAGGCACCACTGATGACTGGGCTATGATCTCACTCTGGTTTACTGTCTGTCTGTCTCATTCTCAGGTGTTCACACTGTCCAATGGATGTATGGCTGTGAGTGGGACGATGAGACTGGTAGTGTTAAAGGTTATGATCAATATGGTTATGATGGAGAAGACTTCATATCATTTGACGTGGAGACAGAGACATGGATCGCTCCAAAACAACAGGCAGTCCCCACCAAACACAAGTGGGATCATGACAAAGCTTGGATGCCACAGACAAAACATTACCTTACTGAGCAGTGCACTGACTGGCTGAAGAAGTACTTGCACCATGGGGGGAGTTCTCTGTTGAGAACAGGTAGAATGACCTGAATTACATGACCTGATGTTGTTTCATAGACACACAGTGTTGCTAAATCTTGTATAGTTTTTCAAATTCTACATAATTCTACGGATGTTGTTTTCCTTCTCTTTCTGCCTCTCTCCCCGAAAAGCGAACAAAAAAGTAGTAGTATGCTTTAGGTGTGTTGAAGGTGAAGTAAAATGTAGGCAATAAATGTATGCCGTTGATATTGCTGTCCTTGCTGACTACTTTCCTAGCTGAAGAGACCCTGACTTGTGGTGGATGTTCTAATTATTGGCATTATTTTGAGGATTTTAGTATAGGTCAAGATCAACTTTTGAGGTACATTGCAGAGGGGGCGAGAACATGGTTATTTTGACACATTTTAATTTTGTTTGGCCTATTTGTCTCGATTAAGAATCTTATTTGTGCAACATCATTTTTGTGTTACTATTGTAGATCTTTTGAAATACCAGTGCAGCACAAAGGAATGATAGTAATAATCAAAATAATAAATGATCACTCTTTCTCTCTCTTTCTCCCCAGACCGTCCCTCAGTGTCTCTCCTCCAGAAGTCTCCCTCCTCTCCAGTCAGCTGCCACGCTACAGGTTTCTACCCAAACAGAGCCATGATGTTCTGGAGGAAAGATGGAGAGGAGCTTCATGAGAATGTGGACCATGGAGAGATCCTCCCCAACCACGATGGATCCTTCCAGATGAACAGTGACCTGGACCTTTCATCAGTCACACCTGAAGACTGGAGGAGGTACGAATGTGTGTTTCAGCTCTCTGGTGTGAAGGATGACATCATCACCAAACTGGACAAAGCAGTGATCAGGACCAACAGAGGTAAGACTTTGATCAGAGGTGGTGTAGGAGAGACACACACACACACACACACTTGGTTTACTGTATTCATGTATTTCCTGTATTTCATCAAGTTTTGTTTCTTAAATTGATTTGTTGACAGCTACTTTATCTTGTTTATATGCCTATGTACTGGCGACAGCTTTGGCCAGAGGCATTATGTTTTTGGGTTGTCCATCTGTCCCCTGTCCCATTCTCATGGAGTCTGTGACCTCACCAAACATGTTTTTGGCCATATCTCAAGAATTTGTATGCTACTAATTATAACAAAATTTTACACAAATGTCTAATAGGACAAAATAATTAAGTGATGCCTTTTTATATTCAAAAGGACAAAGGTCCGTGTCACTGTGACATTTTGGCATCCACCTTGAAACTCTGCTGATTGTTGAGATCTTCTGTGCTGCCAGGGGGCAAATGTTCGTGACACATCCATGTTTTAAAATATGTAGCTTCTTTGCAGCAACATCCACATTTGAAGCACTGTCTATTGTCATGGCTCCATATGAGTCTGGATGGACATGAATGTAAACTGCAACTGCAACTTGACTGGTTGGCAGACACATACAAACATGAGGCGGTGATTCTAGTTTGTTTATTATTTTTAGGCTAAGATCATTAAACCAGTGCAGGTGCCCTCCTCTGAACACAGAAAAGGGTTATCAGCAAATCCCTAAAAAAGAAGCACGTAATTTTCCTTAGTTTTAAGACAAAGATTTAAAGTGCTTTTAAAAGAATGTGCTGCCTGTTTACTGTTTACTTAGCTTTGATTAACACAGAACAATGCCAGTGAAATTTACAAAACAATTTTTGTGCATGTTTTTGTGTTTTTTGGTTTGTAAATTTATTTTTTCATATATTAGATTTTAAATCAGTGTAAAATATATTGTTCAGAGTTTGAGAGCTTTTTGTCTGTCATGTGTAACCACTGTAAGCATGGCATTGACTGAGCTACTGGTCAGTTGTACAAGAGTACATGGAATTATTGAGTAACAAGGTCAATGTATGTATCTGTCATTTTAATCAGTTTTAAGTTTATTGGCCACGTATGCTGACAGTTAAAATGAGCTTTCAGTATGATTGTCAGAAGAGCTCATTGTGCCAGAAACCAACAGTATGGGACAGAAACCAACATCAACATACAGCTACAGCATACAGCTGTCTGTATACAGGATTATGGTCTGGTTGTTCTCTTCTAACCTGCTTCATCTGTTCAGGTTGTGACCATTTTGTGTTGCTTTCTGCTCAACAGAGAAACCCACTGACATGACCGTCCCCATCATTGCTGCAGTGGTTGTTCTTGCTCTCGTCCTCATCGCTGTGATCGGATTTGTCATTTACAAAAAGAAGAATGGTGAGACTCAAACAAAAATACTTTGTTTCAGTATTTTGGTATCAGACTTTGAATTGATGGTTTTATCCATATTGCAAAAATGAGCCAAATTTAAATTTCCAGCACACAAAAATCTGTTTTAACAAACATTAAGTGCTGCAGGGCTCAGAGTTTCAAGATAATGTGACTACAGTGTGATGATGTAAGGGAGAGGTTTGAAGACATAATGTACAACAAAAGGCAGAAGAGATTTATTTATCAGTTTGAGTGAGTGGAGGAGATCACTGAAAAGATTGACAAATTGTGACGTTTTCAACTGTAACAAGAAAAATGTTATGTCTTTTCTTTTTATTTCAGCCAAACGCCCTCCATCTCGTAAGTAAAACTCCTTTTTATTCTGTTTTTCTCTGACCTGATATTCACTATTCATTTTTTTGCTGAAGAACTTTTTTAGGACTGTTTCCTGTAGTGTGAGCTGTTCCTAAAACACAGTGGATGTGGGCTAACAGTGTGTTTCTGACCCTACAGCTATAAGCAACCCTGAGGTGTTGGAGGAACTGAATCCAAATGCATAAATGGCAAACACACCATCCTGCACACAGTGAGTTTCTTCATATGGGACTTGAACTGTCCACACCTGTTAAACAAAGTGTTTGTTTCCTTATCCACAGTAAAACATCTGTGACACATCGTAGCTGTCAAAAAAATCTTTGACTTTCAGTTGGTTCTCCACATTAAAAGTGAAACTGTTTGATATGAAGTGAGATTATTAAGAGAAAGGCACAGATACTTTCAGAAACCTTCACATCAGCTGGTCAGATACAGTCTAATATTAAACACTTAAACTTTGACCTTTAGAAAAAAGGGACACTAATTTATTAAATTTGTGCTGAACTAAATTTTTAAAAATGATTGTACTTCATCAGCACAGTAGGTTCAACACTTCTTTTATAAAATGTTAACACTTAAATGACTGAATTGTGGATATTTGATATTTTGTTATAATATTTTATTTTAAATGAAACTGTAAATATGTGGCTTTGTGGAACTGAACTCACCAAACATCTATGGTGAATTATTTTTTTTCTATTTCATGTAATATTTTTCTTATTGTGTCTTTAGGTTTATGGATACATTTTGCACTGGATCACGGAGCGGTGTCACCACATTCTCCTCCATAAACTGAGAATCCACCAGTTATTCATCAATCATATCATAAACTGATAGAATCAAGGTTGGGAATTAAAAAAAACAAAAATGTGAAAAATTAGTTGGCAAATATCATGAAACATAAATGGTGACATGAAATCATTGCTCATCCTCTAATAAAATATTGCCTTAACTGTTGGTAAATCAAATAAGCACGATTATTTTTGGAGAAAAGTAAAATACAACTTTCAAAACAATGAAAACATCACAGTGCTCTTCACACATACATAATAAAGATTTGTGTATAACTTTAAAACCAATCCACCATAGTTACAGTTTGATGCTTCTGCTGTTGGGCTTTTCTGGTTAATGTGTTATTGGTAATTCAGTTTCAACCAGTTGAGAGTTTTCTTTACTATTTATACTGAGAAAGTCATTATTTGGTTCTCTGTCTGTATTCGATCACTGAGGGCAACACTGCAAATCAATCAGCAACATCCAAAAACATGCTATGTAAACTGGACACTCTAATTGGACACTCTAGATTTACAGTAGATGTCAGTGTAAATGGTCATCTATCTGTGTTACTCCTGGTAATAAACTGTACTCCACTCGACCCTCAGCGGGATGATTTTTTGTATCACTGTTGTGAATCACACGTATCACAACATGAAATCACACAAACAATGATAGGTTGTATCAATGTTGCCCACCCCTATGCACACACATACACAAAATATAAACATCAGTCCAAATTTATTTTCCAGTTCTGTAAATACTCTGTTTCCTTAAAAGTGATAACATGTTTGATTTTACTCAAACAGAAACAAGTAAGTTATGTCGTTGAGGTTTTTCTTAATTAGGAGTATGTTGTTGTTTTTTTGTTTCATTATATCTATCTTTTGATGTGTTTTAAGCTTCTCAGCACACTTATAGAAATGTTCTTGAAAATATTTGCTACTATTATTTGGGGACAAGGGATGTTTTCCCTCTTGGTTTTGTAACCATAAAGAAATTGAACAGTGATGTTCCAAATCACTTGTTGTGTTGGTTAAGTCGGTGATTGTCAGATGAAGTTGCCTTGCTTTTTGTACTTTTGATTTGCTTTTCAATAAAGTGTCTAAAATTCCACATTTCTGTCTGTTTGTGTTTCCACATATTTGGTCACAAATCTGTGACTAGCTGTGATTATTTGAATACTGAGTATCCACTATTGTCACAGACTAAATGAATGTTGCTCTGACCTTTAGATGTTAAACAAAGGACAGGAAGAACACAATTATTTTGCCAAACCTGTGATTCTTTACAGAAAACTTAAGGTGCAGTTCGAATTTAAACATGACAATAAAATTATATGGATGATTAGTTTGAGACCTTTTTTTGTGGAACTTTTTTATTTTGTCTCTCGAATGGTTTGCTTCTCTGTTAAGAAAAATCAAAACACAAAGTTAAGATATTTGTTTAACATAGCATATTGGCTTACAAGTGAGACATAGAGTAAAGTAAATATTGTTTCTCATTGTGTGTATGTAGTATATATTTTATAAATGTGTATAACAATGATCCACTAAGCTTTTCTTGACACTATATATCCGGACTCAGAGTGGTGCTTTGGAATTCCCCTGAAATAACCTGTTGTACTAAAATCTGCCTGGCAACTGATGACACTACAGCCGACAGGAAATTTTCCAGCTCTGTGGCTCCTCCTCAGATGTTCACCAAGTGGCAGGAGGAGTAGAATTATCTTGCCAAACCTGTGATTCTTTACAGAAAACTGTTGAATCAAAAGCAAATATGTCCCTCTTCTTTGTGGTATAGTACAAATGTTAGTGTAGATATGAAGAATCTGATTATTAATTTTCATGTGGTATAGCAAAGGCAATACAAAAGAAATGTGCAATTAATGCATCAGGTTTGCCTCCATGTCCATTGTGGAAGAACCCATTGTTCACTGCTGGAGAAAGACCCTTACTTATAAGGAGTGGGAAAATCATAACATCAGGATATTGGGACAAATTGTGAAGCAGGAGAGAATAATGACAGTCAGTGAAACAAGTTAATTTTAGTCTTAATAAACTGATTTTTCTTGTTTTTTGTTTTTTGTTACAGTATTTTCAATCTCAAGGTCTTACACTGGTCTCAGATGAAGATATAGAAAATAAATTAAAAGAGAAAGTTAAACAACAATGGGAATATGACCTAGGTAAACACTTTCCACTTGAACAATGGGACACTATGATATGACATAAAACTATCAAAATCTGTTAGATATACACTTATACAGATGAAGATTTTGCACTGGACATTATACTTAACTCCACACAAGCTGAATAAAATGAATCATAATACATCAATCCTATGCTGGCATGGTTGTGGAAAGAGAGGACCCTCAATACATATGTTATAGCACTGCTCAGAGAATAGAAAATTATGGAAAGGACTCCAAAATGTGTTATGTTCAATGCTAAATGTGGCTGTATATGCCCAGAAGTGTGTTTGCTGGGAGTTAAAGTGGATGGTGTAAAATCTGGAGTAATACAATGTCTGTTAACACTGGCATTCCTTTCTGTAAAAAGGATTATTCTTATGAATAGGAAATACAGAACCTAAATTGTTTTTGTTCAAATAACTGGCTAAAGGATTTTGTAGAATATAGAATAGAATAATGATGGAGCGTGCAGCCTCAGCCCTACAGGGGTTTTATAGAGATGATTTAGATGGACCATGGATCATCATCAAAGAATATATAAACAAGAAGGATATAATTTAGTTTAAGAACTGTTATGAATATAAGCCCATACCAGCATAGGATTCCAAACCCTTTAAGTAGAAGGCAGAAACCCTCTTAAGATATACAATGATCTCCTAAGCAAGTATATTATTACTGATGTATTTTAGTCTGTAATCTCTGGTGAACTGTCTTTGTGTCGTGTTTTTGTACAGTGTTGTGTTGTGTTTGCGTGGTGTCTGTATTTGATCGTTGTGGTATCATTAAAATGTAAATTGAAAGAAATTGTCTATTTGTCATCTTTAAAAGCTTACAGAGTTTTATTTCTTCAACATAATTTTTGTGTTATTTAACTTTTTAAAATACCAGTATGGTACACATGAATGATAGTAAAAATCAAAATTAACTGGGATGTTTCAATTATTAAAGTTAACATTTATATAATGTCCTTGAAACGTGCTCTTGATTCTGCAGTAACTACATGAATTTAGTGACGTGTGACAATGTATTTCTGTTTTGTTTTACAGACATTGAACAGCATTGGATGTTGTCACTTTTATTCTTGTGTCACTGTTCAATAACACTTCTGATATTCTGACTCTTTTCGTAAATCGACACATAGCTTACTGTTTTTATGTAACAGCCCTATAATATTGTATTCAGTGTTCTCACAGAGCCTTGATGAGCATGACCCCAACCTGTAGCTTTAATAGAGCAAGTAAAAGTAAACTAAAGTAAAATAAGAATAGAACAAAAAAAAAAAAAAAAAAAGCCATTTGGAGACAAAAACATTCAAGGTAAAGTAACAGTGATGTGATTTATAGCAGCAGATTCAGCCATTCTAACAGTGTACACCAGACTGTGATTAAAAAATGGTACTTAATAACAGAGATATGACATAAGTAAGATATTAACAAAGGTATTTTTCATTGGTTACTAATGTGAATTGTATCTGTTTAAAATAAATTATAATTCCTGGACAGATTTAGAAACATTTTTGATTGGACCACAGTAGAAGTTCTCAAGTAGGCCTACATGAGTACAGTGGCTGACTTTGTATTTCATTCCGAAACGAACAAAAATTTAATTGGCAGATCAGATTTCTGATGAAATCCTTCTTTTGCATTTTAAAAAATAATCCAGAGAAAAGGCTGTTGTTGGGCATTTTAACATGGGGGTCTGTGGGGATTGACTGGCTTCTGGAGCCAGCCTCAATTGGACATTCAAAGAACTGCAGTTTTGGGCACTTAGCATCAGATCCTTTTTTTTTTTTAATCCGGAGATTGCTGCTTGTTCTGATCATAGGTTTCACTTTCTCCATGGTTATTTCCTCAACTGTAGTGCTCTGATCTTATATCTAATGAGCAAATTCTTTACCTGAAGTGAAATCTTATCAAATGGGGGTCTGTGACTGAATGTGTATCAATTTAGGGGACCTTGAAAACCACTTTTCTATCATTACACTTGGTGTGTGTGTGGTGGGATTATTGAGGACATGACTGTATAGAGTGCAACATCCCACATTTTCACTACAACTTGTACACATTAGGGTTTTTCCATGAATTAAGTGCTTCTGAGAAAACAAACAGTTGTTTATTTGTTGTTTGTTGAAGGTTCAGGGTTGTTTTAAAACATAAAATGATTTTTCCCGAACTTGTTAAAGGTATTTTTTTTTTAGGTTTCAGGGAGCAGTGAGGCTGTTCATTGACACTAGTAGGAGTCTAAAAGGATTTTATTTTATTTTGTTCCTCTTTATTTGATGTATACACGAGACCAGAGTCACGGATCATTATGATGTTTTGACAGGTTGACGCCAACAGAAAGTCAGGTGACATCATCAGGTGGTTTCCCATCAGGAGTTCAATGGCAGGTACATAAATCGTCCACAGGAGGGCGCTGTCACACTGCTGACTTCTCTGTGAAGATGAACTCAGAGATAAACTCAGGTATTGATCAGCAGTGAGCAGAAGGTGATTTCAACCACAGTTCAAGCCTCAAAGTCATAAACAATATAAATCCTTTATTGTCTGGATAAAAGATGTGAAACAAATTGAATTCTTTGTGTAATAATCGTGTAATACTGTCTCAGCTGGAGAACAACAACATATCTGAGTTTTCTTATCATACCTAAATACTATGACCTTTTATAAAGTGCTTCAACAACCACAAGTAGGGATGGAAACAGAATATAAAGCAGGTCTATTCAACTGGCGGCCCAGAGGCAACCTCTGAGTGGCCCGGGCAGGGACTGGTACCGAGACCTGGTGTTAAACAAGCTTCGATGTTATCGGCTCTTTTATTGTTACTTTTTAAACGTTTTGGTTTCATTTATCCTCATGCTGCAATCTCTCGCCTGCCCTCTGAGTGTCAGGGCTGACCTCCTCCTCACAGCACACACACACACACACACACACTCAGATATACACACACACACGACACAGTGAAGTCAGACAACAGCAGAGACACCGCGGTGCAGACGAAGGGAGTAGGCTACAACTTCAAGATTTCTCTAGCTGACGAAAACAACAACACTTGTTAATGTGAGTAACTGCCATAAGAGACAATACTTTATAACGTTATTTTCTTCACTCAGTGTTGTGATGTCAGGAGGAACATTTATTGTATTGACATGTTACATTTCTTTCCAGTGAGATATTATTGAGTTTATATAGTGGCTGTGTTGTTGTAAACATCAGTGTTGCTGCCATTGACTGTATAAAACTATATCCTGTGTATTTGACCTCAAAGGAAAACGTAAGGAGGTGAGGTGTGTGCATGTGTGTGTGGAGAAGAGAGGGGAGAGGGAGATGCAGGTAGAGAGATAGAGTGTGTTATTAGTTACTGTTAATGCCACTTATTATGCTTCTGTTCATTGATAGCTCTTTTTTATTCTGTTTCTGCTTTATGTTGTGCTCCTCAGTGTTTGGCCCATCCACAGTTTCTGGTTTTAAAATCCAGCCCAGTTGAATTTGTAATTGAACAGCCCTGGTGTAAACGCTACCGAAGCAAAAGCAAAATGAAAAACAGCATCAGGTGTTCAAACATCAACAGAGGTGTTTAATTTCTCTTGTTGGAGCAGTTTTCAGCATCCACAGCTATCAGCAATTTAGCCTGTGGGACACAGCTGACCTGATCTGATGTTTGTGATTAAGAAGCTCTCTGACTCTCTTTCTGCTTTGGCTTGATTCCTTTGCTTCTTGTTTTCATTTCAAAGTCAAACACTGAGGTAAAATATTGTGTCATGGAAACTATCTTGTCTTTTATTATATTTTGTGTGCTGATAGTAGGAATAATGTGAGCCAAGACCAGTGTGTAGGCCTGGACTGAAACTAAATAAAATGCCTTATCATCCTAATATACATGAACACCTTATTGGATAGGACTTCAGAAGGGATATAAGATGTTCCCCTCCATCTCATTTAACAATCAGATGGTTTGACTGCACACTGATCTGTTTAAAATAACAGATAATAACAGTCCACACTGAGAAACTGTACTGCTGCACATCAGCTGCAGGTTTGAACCACTGGAGGGAGCACCTCACCACATTTACTCACTCTAACATCAGTGAAATCATCACACTTGGATTTGTTGTTTGTCGTCGACATTTTTGATCAGGACTGTTTTAAATGCCGCAGGACAGCCACACAGAACAAAAGAACAATAAGACACTACTGCATCCCCACAAACTGCAGAGTATCTGTAGCTGACAGTAACCTCTGACCTCCCAGAGGATTTAATACATGTCTGCACATTACATCACATCAGCCCACACATCATTATACAAGATGTGAGCAGCAGAAGGGTTAATACTCCTCTCACATGTGAACAAAGTGGAGAAAACAGAATAAAGCCCCGCATGTCTGATGTCTCCCCATCCTTGTTACACAGGCTGAAATAACATCGCTTTACTTTCACTTTCATTCATAACCTATTTCACAAAGTTTCACCGAGTAACAAGTGATGCTCAGCCGAGTTATAGTGACGTTGGTGCTCAGCCTAAATTCCCATTGGCTCAGATGGAGGTTGAAATCAGTCTCCTCCTTCTTTTTTTTGGTGAAGTTATTAGATTCCTCCTTGTTACCAGTACTTCAGCCCCGCTCTTTGAGGTGTTAGGTTGGTCTCTGTGTCAGTAAACAAACATTTAAACATTAACTCGGTATTTTATCAAAGCTTCAGATTCGACAACTCACAATGCAGGCCTGGATTCCTCCGCTTCTGCTTCTCGTGAGCTTTCATGGCGCCTCGGCAAGTAAGTTAAGATTTATTTTATTTTATTTATTTATTATTATTTATTATTATATTATTAAGTTTATTTCTTTTCTTTTTTTAAAAAAAAAGCTTCATGACTTTATATATTGTATATATGAATGTGAGGTTCTTCTGATAGTCTTTGATGTTTAGTTAAAATACTTCCATGCAGCAGATCAAAGAAATGTTTTTTTATTAAATAGGCCTAAATAAATCCATTATCTTAAAGTTGACGTTTAATCTTGACTGAGCAACTCATTGATTGATCATGACGTTTTTCTATTTAGCCATAAACACTACCTAAGTGTTTTTGTTTTCCCTAACTTCCCTTTCCTTTATGTCGCTATTATTTTATAACATCAGGACCATGAAGACCGATACGGGATGGTCGATATTAATGCTAAAATGGCAGCAGGACTACAAAGCGCAACACAGTCCAACACGCAGATAGGCCTAAATAAATAAAATATAAAGAAAACATAAAATAAAGTTGTTAAAATAGTCATTTATTGTCCAAAACTAAATGTATAATGCACTCACTGAAATCAACTTTTAAGTTAATTTTTTTATTTTTTACTTATAAAAACCCATAGTGCTTTATTCAGTGCTGTTAATCATGACTTATTTTAGAAATTATGTTTTAAAAAAATCATTAACTTATTTCCCCAGTCTGGAAACACATTATTCTATTTCAAATTAACCCCTCCACAGGCTGCTGTGAAAGTTTTAGATTTTTATTTTTAACCAACAAGTCAGTTGATGCTGATGTTTTCCTGCTGAGGCCAAACAACTTCCTGATTTGTGGGTACAGTATTTAATATCGATCACTAATGTTCTTAATCAACACTACATACATTGTAACATGATACCTTACTTATTGAGCATCTTTTCACTCACATCAGTGTACACTCCAACACAAAGTATTAACTCTAATCTGTAACCAAATAATAGGCGACAGATTTCATGATTGGAAAGATTAATAAAATACTACTCTATGATCTGGCCCCCTCTTATAATAAAGAAAAACAAAGGTCGTTGTGAATAATTTGACAACATGTCCACACAGCAGAACACACATCATCAATAAAACCTACTTTACATAAATATTAAGGACATATTATATATGTTTTCCTTAATAATATAATAGCCTATATCACTAATCTTTGAAGCAGTTCTCCAGCGGATTTAACAATTTAACTCAGCATACTGAAAAACATATCTGCTTTAATGACGTCCATACTGAGCTTTGTTATCAGTATCGGTCTCAAAAATCCAGTGTCTGTCAGGCAATACTGTTTAAATATTTGATGTATTAACAGGGAGCAGATTTACTCTTGGGCAGATTTGCTGAACAGTTTTGGTCTGACAGCTTAACACAGAAATATGATTTACTTGCATTCAGACAGCAGAGGACTCCACAGATGATAATTTGATTGTCAAGACACAGACACAGTGTATAAAGTTTACTCTGTTGATACTTAAAAAAAACTGCAAGGATAAACTTAAAATCAGAATTAAGAGCAAATAAACATCAGTTCATGGTGGAGGAAATGTTATATAAGATTTGAATTCATTATATAACTGATACTAATGGAAACTGTACAGAAAGACTACATGAGAAATAAGAGAGAACTTTATTAAATATAGAGTTGTGTCCCTTAATATTTATCTGGGATTGTCTGTATTGAAATACACAAGATTTGGCTCTATACAAAATATTGGTTATCAAAGATATTGGGATTAAAACTTAAATATAATTCTTAACTTACTTAAATCAAGATATATGAAAGTGAGACACACAGAGCTGGGTCAGGTATTTTCTCTCCTGTTGGTTGTTGCTTTTTTTAAACTAAAATCCACAAAGTCTCTGACAACAACATAAAACTAAAATCAGTTATTACTTGAATATGAAAAATGACAAATGAAATAGAATGTGTCAGGAGAACTGCAGCGAGTTTTAGCTTCACTAAACTCAGAGTTCAAATTTATGATTCAAAACTTTAGGAAGAAAAAACATAAATTGTTTATAGTATAAAACAAAGACCAAAAGGGATGTTAGGTAATCAGGAAAAAAAAAGTTTTATACAGAAAATAAAATTAGAACCACATGCAACAGTTATATTTTGTTCAGAGGTTTCAGATTTCAGATTTCAAGCTAATCTTATAATGAAGAATAAATGACTCCACTAAGAACTAAACTGGAGTTTGACTTCACATATAGATATTCAGCACTGGATTTAAATTTATTTTATTTTTTTTTACAAAATGCTTTCTATCACAGAAAGTCAGGAACACAACTGCATGACCTAAGTATATGACTTATTTAACTTTTTATTTTAGAATAAATACGTTTTTCAAGACAAGATCATTTGAAGTAATAAAGTATGCATTTATTTTTGTATTTACTGAGTGAACACCATACATTAAAAGAATGTCTTGAATGTGCTGTTGTGCTTTTAATTTGTTGTGCAGGAAAATAACGTTGTTAATTGATTTATAAAACTGTGATGTAAAAACTGAAATTATTATCACTTGTTTCCTACAGTGATTCACTCTCTGAAGTATTTCTACACTGCGTCTACTGGAATCCCAAACTTCCCAGAGTTTGTGTCTCTTGGGTTGGTTGATAACGTTCCGATGGATTGCTATGACAGCAACACCAGGAGAGCAGAACCCAAACAGGACTGGATGAGAAGAGTCACAGCAGATGATCCTCAGTACTGGCAGAGACAGACTGAGGTCTCTGTGGGTGACCAGCAGTCCTTCAAAGCCAACATTGAGATTTTAAAGCCACGCTTCAACCAAACTGGAGGTTTGTTTATGTTTCACTTTCTACTGATAAAATGTTGTTTATATTTACATTCTCTATTTTAGTAAACATCTGCTAACACACACACACACACACACACACACACCCATCACTTTTCATCTGAGTGCTCTCTCTCTGTCTCTCTCTCTCCGGTTGTCTCTCTCTGTTTCTCTCTCTGTCTCTCTCTGTGTTTCTGTCACTCAGTCTCTCTCTCTGTGTCTGTCTCTCTCTCTCTCTGTGTGTGTGTCTCTCTTTCTGTCTCTCTCTCTGTCTGTCTCTCTCTCTGTCTCTGTCTCACTTTCTGTCTGTCTCTCTCTGTCTCTCTGTCTGTCTCTCTGTCTCTGTCTCTCTGTCTCTTTGTCTCTCTTTCTGCCTCTCTCTGTCTGTCTGTCTCTCTGTCTGTCTCTTTGTCACTGTCTCTCTCTGTCTCTCTTCTTCTCCGAGTGAGGGTGGTGGAGAGCATCTGTAGTGTGTGAGTTGGTTACTTTTATGTGACTCTTACTCTCTTTTCTTGTGTTTAATGTGTCTGTGATTTATTGACTGTCACTGGTTTTTACGAAAGTAATTTTGTAGTTGTTTCAGCCGCCACCAGTGAGTCCACCATCAGCATGGCTGCAGGTGGCTCAGGTTTGGAAAGGCTCGTGCTTNTTTTACGAAAGTAATTTTGTAGTTGTTTCAGCCGCCACCAGTGAGTCCACCATCAGCATGGCTGCAGGTGGCTCAGGTTTGGAAAGGCTCGTGCTTCGCCGTGCGATCAAACTTTCGCCAGCAGTCAGCTGTTCAGTCGAGGAGTGCAGTTTGGCAGTCAGAGAAGCTGTGGACTGTGTGTGTTAAATCTGCCTCCAGGATGAACAGCGCTGTCGTGATTTTTCTCAATACCACTGATAAAGTCAATCAGCTGCTTGAGGGTGGAGTTGTGATTCAGGGTACTTTTACTCTTGTGTTGTCTCTTGTTAATCCTGCAAAGAGAATTATCATTTTGTAACATGCCCTGTTCATCAGAAATGAGCTGTTGGAGAGGGAATTTACCTGACATGGGCAGTTAGTGACCCCGATTAAAATGATTCCCCTCGGCTGCAAGTCTCCTCATCTGAAGCATGTCATGTCTTTCAGGAGACAAGGTCATATGGTATTAAAAAAGAATGATGAAGAACTTACCCTGGTCTTTAAGTTCAGAGTTGATGATTTTGACTATACTGTTCATGTTACTTCTGAGATGATGAAATGCTTTGGATGTGGCACTGAAGGCCATTTGATTTGTTCATGCCCAGAGAGAGCAGGTGAGTGCTGGTCAGCTGCGGCTGATGCGGAGCTGCCATCTGAGGCGGTGGGTGCCGCAGCAGCATCACTGACGCAGCGCGATTCACAGGGAGACACACAGGGCACGCAGGAGAAAAACAGTGATCAAAGTGAACCAAGTGCACAACACAACGCACATTAAAACACACCACAGAGTGAAGACGAGGGCGGTTTTGTGAGTCAGCAGGGAGATCAGACTACAGTCAAGGAACAGGCCGGGCAGACAGCCACCAGTGTCACCGAGTCTGTTTTAGATGATGATGACGATGATGATGATATAGTGATTGATGATGATGTTCCAAAGTTACCACTTAAGAGGAAAAACCCAGAGACCAAGAGCAGTAAAAAAGCCCTTAAAGTGACAAAAGAAAAC